TCAGCTTCTTCGGAACCTCCATCCCAATTTTTTGTTGTGGTTTAGTCATTTAGTCGTGTCCGACTCTTCGTGACCCCATGGACCAGAGCACGCCAGGCACTCCTGTCTTCCACTGCCTCCCACAGTTTGGTCAAACTCATGCTGGTAGCTTCAAGAACACTGTCCAACCTCTCCCATCCTCTGTCGTCCCCTTCTCCTTGTCTTTCCCAACATCAGGGTCTTTTCCAGGGAGTCTTCTCTTCTCATGAGGTGGCCAAAGTATTGGAGCCTCAGCTTCACGATCTGTCCTTCCAGTGAGCACTCAGGGCTGATTTCCTTCAGAATGGAGAGGTTTGATCTTCTTGCAGTCCATGGGACTCTCAAGAGTCTCCTCCAGCACCATAATTCAAAAGCATCAATTCTTTGGCGATCAGCCTTCTTTATGGTCCAGCTCTCACTTCCATACATCACTACTGGGAAAACTATAGCCTTAACTATACGGACCTTTCTTGGCAATGTGATATCTCTGCTTTTGAAGATGTTGTCTAGGTTTGTCATTGGTTTTCTCCCAAGAAGCAGGCGTCTTTTAATTTCGTGGCTGCTGTCACCATCTGCAGTGATCATGGAGCCCAAGAAAGTAAAATTTCTCACTGTCTCCATTTCTTCCCCTTCTATTTGCCAGGAGGTGATGGGCCCAGTGGCCATGATCTTCATTTTTTTTTTTTATGTTGAGCTTCAGACCATATTTTGCGCTCTCCTCTTTCACCCTCATTAAAAGGTTCTTTAAATCAAAAGGCTTTGGGTGTTTTGAGAATCACCAATTTAAACATCTTTTTAAATTTATTATATATCAGGGCTGCCATATGTCTGGAAAATCCCGAACATTGCCGAAATTTGGTTGCTGAAAGTTGCATCCGGGTGGAAATTTGGGCAGCCGTATAAAATGGTTGGGGAAATCCGGGTGTATGGCAATCCATTGTGCAAATTAAATGCCCGTGTGCAGCATAGACATTCTCATATACCCACCACTCAACTGCCCTGGGCAGGCAGCCTCCGCCATAGGCTCCACTGCCGTTGTGGTTGACATCTGCCACCATCATATTCACAGACGTGGGTGCAGCACATCCCGATGAAGACGCCACACTTCCGACAGCCACAGTGAGGCTGCGATGCAAAGATTGTGCAGGCAGAAGAGCAGTGTATCGGGAGGAGGGGGTGTTAAAAAGAGCGCAAGGTTGGGGCAGGCCATGACAGAAAGAGAGAGCAGATCAGGAGTGGGGTGGGAGAAAAAGGGTAGATAGGGAGGAGGGGTTGTTTAAGAGAGGGTAAAATGTCGAAATGTTTTTGGGATACAATTGTACATTGGAAGTCGAAAGGAGTCTGTTTGACTTCCAAAACGTTCAAAAACCAAAGCGTGGCTTCTGATTGGCTGCAGGAAGCTGCTGCAGCCAATTGGGAGCCCCACCGGACGTTCAGCTTCCAAAAATAGTTCGCAAACTGAAACGTTCACTTCCAGGGTTGTGGCATTCGGGAGCCAAAACGTTCAAGAACTAAGCTGTTCGAAAACCAAGGTATGACAGCATGGGAGGGGAGGGTCAACTGTTGTGTCCAAATTTTCACTTCCTGAAATATGGCAACCCTATTATATATCATTTCCCAGAAGCCCTTGGCCTTTTTACAGGAACAGCAGATATGAAAAAGTGACCCTTCCATCTATTTTCATTTCCAACACATATTTGATACAGTCTTATACATTTTCGCTAACTTATATGGTGTAAAAGACAACCTATGCGTCATTTTCATATGGTTTCCTTTCAAAGTATAACAGGCAGTAAATTTCATATCCACTTTCCATAACTTCAACCATGCAAACATATCAATGTTATGACCACAGTATAATCTTAACCAAATCATCTTTCGTTTCCCATTCTAATAATTTATACATTTTAGAAACCAGTTATTTCTTTACTCTCCATCAATCGCATTTCAAAGTCTGATCTTTATAGGACAGAGAACCTAAAGCCCTTCTCTGATTACCCTTTTAAGAGTGTTGGATCCACTGAAATACTCTTCCTGAACTCATCTGTAATATTAGACCAGGGCCCACAGGGGAGAAAACTTAAATTCTTTCCTATAGGAGTCTCATCCCTTGTCTGAAATTAGAATAGTACCACCACAATAGGCGTAAAGACCCTGTGACATTTTTGGAGTGGTATGGGAGGAGTCCATGTTGCAAAAATTAGCCTTTGGGGCCTTTAGACAGCCATTTTGTGTTATGCCATGCCCTCCAATGTCTGACTGACACCCACAGAGCTATCAAACCTCCACATTTGTCTCCAGATCTATGCCACTTCATAATCCAGAATCTTGGCATTCCATCCACAAGCTTTCATCAGAAGCTACAGAAGATGTGCAAGTACAAGGCATATTCTATTCAGTAGGCCTTTTGGATGAAGCAGTTGTGAAGAACAGGGAAGAGGTAGCCTGGAGCCATCTGCTATGAGGCTGATAGGCTTTTGGTGCAAAAATCTTAGCTCCTATTGTTAGACCATTCTCACAATTTTGAAAAAAAGGAAACTTCATAAAGCGGGGGGGGGGGGGGGTGGAAAACCCAAACTATTTTTTAGGACCTAAGAAGATCAATTTTTGTCTCCCTGTATCAGTTGACATCCATTCCTTTCAAAGTTAACTTGTGATGCAACTTTTGCAGAGCTAGAAGGCAAGAAAGCACATAGTCCTGGCCTCATATTAATAAGTGAGAAAAGTTTTTTATTAGTATGGGAATTAAATAAAACCAGTGGTTTTTAAAAGTATGTATAATTCACTTGGCTTTGGATAGCCATGAAGAGCTTACCCTGGGAGCAATAGAGATACTACTCAAAACTTTCAGGCATCTTAAATATTTAGTATCCATTGTCTTCAGTCTAAAACACCTACAACAGGTAGCATGTGATACAAAAGCCCTCTCTCCCTCATACTCTGGATTGATGTGGTCCATGGATGATGGACCATCAATAGTCTGGTGGTCAATAAGGCAACTTCCTAAGTTACTGTCCATAAACAGTGAAGGCCACATTGAACTGATAGATATAAGCAGAATCCCATTGTTAAAATGTTTGGTAACAAACAGGAAGTTGCAGGCTTTGACTGTAAAAAAAGAAAGAAGTTTGCTTTTGAAACCTGTAGTAGACAGCGCCTGCATGTCTGCAAAGGATCCAGCTGCTGCTATGGGACTGGCAGAAAGTTGACAAGATCACCCGGTCCAAAGAACAGGTGAAACAAAATATTTTTTTTTTAAGAATATTTTTTTATTAACCGACCAATCACATCAAATCAAACCAAATTACATAAATTCCAAATTACACAGCCGAATTTTAATTTTTGTTGGGGGTACCCATATTTCAAGTTCCGAAGGGGATCCAATCAACTTCTTGCTTCTTACTGCTGTTTTAATGTCCACAAATCTAACCTTATGATGTTCACAGTACTATCCAGTCCTTTCTTATTGTTTTTCCACATCTCTTGTTGTTATTTTCATATATTTTCCCTTTTTCTTTGTGACCTCTGATAGTCTCCACAAGCTGGTTAGAACAGTTTGTAATCCTGCGTGGATATTATTTTTTTTATCCAATAGCCATATCCAGACGTTTTCCATATAACATCACTTTCATACATCAAAACAGTCTTAGCGTCATTAATCTTCACCAATCTGCCTCCTTTCTCAAAACCTCTGAGGAGATTCACTAGGAATGCAGTCTGAAAACAAGTCCGTTCTTCCTCCCGGCTATAAATCCTTTGGCAAGATGGCGACTCTGAATTAATTGCTGTGCCATTCCAAAAGCTCTTATTGCTTCTCGATCTCCATAAAGCATACTTTTGGTTAAAGTTTATCTCCACACAGACCTTAATCATCCTGCTTGGGTCAGTTCAACCGACGATTCTGATGAGGAGGGGTTCTTGTAAATCACATAGAAGGAAAGTAAAAAAAAGTCCTCCCCCCATTCAGTCCCGTTGTCAACATACCCAGCCTTTGATGTATCTTCATCGTAAAATATTCCTGTTTCTCCAACCTGTCGTCTTCTTTCACAGAGGTCACTTAAATTAGCAGACTTCACTCCCCTTCTTCACTTGAAATATGTGCATTTGCTTCTTTTGTAATTAACTACTCCAAATTGCTGCAGCTAGTGCGCGATCAGAGACAGCGTCCAGGAGAGCCGAGGTCCACACGGGGGCATTCTGCCTAGGGCCCTCACCCCCTTCTTTCGAATTAGGGAGTGATTTATGGGCACAGCAGGCAAAGGCAGTGTTCTCCATTTCCTTGGGGCAACAAGGGAGGCTGCCTACTCCCATAACAGCCTCTTAATTACCCCGTGTGGGTCGGAGAGATGGTATTGTTGGCCATCTTCCAATGCGCCCCTAGTGGCCCCCCCAACAGGTGAAACAAAATAAGGTGTTCTGGAAGTCTTAGAGAGCAACTGTTACCTAGCCTTTGGGAATACAGTGGTACCTCGGGTTTCGAACGTAATCTGTTCTGGAAGACTGTTTGAGTTCCGAAACATTTGAAAAACCGAGGCGCAAAGGGCAGTCTGCCAATTTAATAGAGAAAATTGAGAAAAATAACATATACACTCAGGGAAGCTGTTAAGACTTCTGAGGCATGTTCAAAAACAGAAGCATTTACTTCCGGGTTTATGGCGTTCAAAAATGAAACGTTTGTCGATGGAGACATTCAAAAACCAAGGTACCACTGTACTTCCTTCAAAAAAGGATGCTAGGCCTTGACGCAGAACTGTCAGCCAGCAAATGGGGAGGGAAATCAACAGGCTAAACAGTCTTTTCCGTTCAGAATATGGTGGCAGGAATGATCCAGTATTTATTTTCTATTACGTTTATTACAACACATGAAAAAAGGTTAACAGGACATACTGTGGACTAGATAAAAACATTTATCTGGTTACTATCATAGAGCTCCTTGGATCTCCCTAGTCCGTTGCTGCCAGTTCCAACTTTCTAGGTACTCCTCATCTCTCAAAAGGAGCTGGGGAATGAACAACCAAAGGATGGAGGGGACGCAATACTCGGTCCATACCAAGCTCTCCACTGGCCATCTGGGAAAGGATCCCATCCACCTAAATGAAAAGAAAAAGGAAATGGGCAAAAGGTTGCCATTCACAAATGGAACAAATAATACTCTCATTCTGACTCAAGAAAATCACCATTTTATAGTTTGAATCGGGGGAAATAAATACAGTGGTAAATCTGGTTGTGAACGGGATCCGTTCCGGAGGCCTGTTCACAACGTGAAAAGCCCGCAACCTGAAGCGCCGTAGCTGCACAGGTGCGCGACACGATTTGGTGCTTCTGCGCATGCACGAAGCACGATTTATTGCTATTGCGCATGTGCGAGCGGCGAAACCCGGAAGTAACCCTTTCTGGTACTTCCGGGTCGCCGCGGGATGCAACAAAAAATGTAACATGAAGCAAACGTAACATGAGATATGACTGTACAGTAAATGAACAAAAGTACAAAGATTCACAAAATGTTTAGGGTTATGCGTCCCCCTGTGTCCCCCCAGAAAAAAGCACCGATAATAATAATAATAATAATAATTTATTATTTATACCCCGCCCATCTGGCTGGGTTTCCTCAGCCACTCTGGGCAGCTCCCAACAGAATATTAAAAACACGATAAAACATCAAACATTAAAAACTTCCCTAAACAGGGCTGCCTTCAGATGTCTTCTAAATGTCAGATAGTTGTTTATCTCTTTGACATCTGATGTGAGGGCGTTCCACAGGGCGGGCACCACCACCGAGAAGGCCCTCCTCCTGGTTCTCTGTAACCTCACTTCTCGCAGTGAGGGAACCGCCAGAAGGCCCTTGGAGCTGGACCTCAGTGTCCAGGCTGAACGATGGGGGTGGAGACACTCCTTCAGGTATACTGGGCTAAGGCTGATAATCTTATACAAACAGATTATCCATATAGCTTTCAGCGAATAAGTCGTCCACATCTGCCTCCAAATCAACTTCGCAGAATAAGCATTGCCATTCAGATGGGGAAGCCTTCTATTAGCCGAGCCAGATCCTCACATGGGATAAAGGCTCCAGGACGAGGGAAACAGGGGACACCCATAAAATTTCTGGTGCATCAGACCAAAGGTCCGTCCAGCCCAGGATCCCGTTTCTCACAGTGGCCAATCAGATGCCTACGGAAAGCCCACAAGTGGGAACTAAGTGCTACAACACTTTGAATACCCATTGCTGGGAATCACAAGCAGGGCCGCGAACATTCAAATTTTTTTTGGGGGGGGGGGGGAAAGTAAGTGGATCAGACCTTTCTCTGAAACACGAAACGTCAAGACTACTCCAGTGCTTCTGGACTTGTCAGGCAACACCACTGCTAATGAAGCTCAACTGCTTAATCTCTGTTGCTAAGCAATCAGAACAACACAAGGTTGACCCCTCCTCCTACCATGGGACTTGGTGGGGGGGGGGTCTCCCAGAGAAGATGATGCTGGATGGATTTTTGGGTGTGTATGTTAAAGCACCTTCCTTGTTTCCACATTATTTCACTCACTCCCCATATGCACAGTGTTTACAGAATAAAGCTGGCTTTAGCAGGTTTTACTCAGAAGCAATTCCCTTGAAATAAAGAAGGTTTTCTTCCTACTGAGAAAAAACAACAACGGTGAAATTGCAGCCCCGCCACCCCACAATTTTCCATGTCCCCCATCCAGCCACTACTGTCAACACTGGGCTGTTTGTTGCTAATATACAGTAACCATAAAACAAAAATACAAAATGCAAAACGTTCGGCAAATGCAACCATAAAATAATTAAACGCCTTATGGTTGCAAGTTAAAATTTCTGTCGATTGCATTTTAACACAGAGTTCTTCTGTTGTTGTTGATCAAGGCGGGCAAATTATTTTGTGTGTATAAATCTTTTGCTGAGAGTGGTGTACCCAGGCACATCTTTGTTGTTGATGATGAGTATTTGTCGCTTGATTTTCCTCCCAGGAACTCAAGGCCATGGACACTGTCTTCCTCTTCCCCCTTTTATCTTCCCCCAAAGCCTGTGTGGTGGGCCTTTTCCTAAGCACCTTTAGCATAGATCACCTTTTTACCACCTTTCCCGCACTTTGGCCTCTCATCCTGCTGCTGCACAACTGCATTTGTCAGATGGATGCCAGCACTGCTGCCGGGGACTCACCCGCTGGGCATAAGCCTGGTCCTCTTGGGGCTGGTACAGCTTTTTTATCTCAAAGGTCCTGCAGAGCCAGGGGAGAGTGGAAGAGAGATGTTAAGCACTAGGTAAGTGGCAGGATGTAACCTCACTGATCTATCCTAAGCTAACTCCCCTCTACTTAACAACAACCATTTCCAAGCAAAAAAGGGGGGTGTGTGGAGAAGAGACCGACTTGCCATTCTGCACACAAGGTCTCAACTGTCTTGTGAAAGGAAGAGGAGCCACTAATAATAATTTAATAATAATTATAATTCATTATTTATTTATATTTATGGGCCTCCCCAGCCACTCTGGGCGGCTTCCAACAGGATATTAAAAACACACACACACACACAAAAATCGAACATAAAAAAACTTCCCTAAACAGGGCTGCCTTCAGATGTCCTCTAAAAGTCAGACAGTTGTTTAGTTCCTTGGCATCTGACGGGAGGGTGTTCCACAGGGCAGCCGCCACTGTCGAGAAGGCCCTCTGCCTGGTTCCCTGTAATCTCACTTCTCACAGAGAGGGAGCCACCAGAAGGCCCTCGGAGCTGGACCTAAGTGTCCGGGCTGAACAATGGAGGTGGAGACGCTCCTTCAGGTATACTAAGGCGTTTTCTGATCACTATTCATTTTATCTGCAGGATGTGTGTGAAAATCCAAGCTTCTCCTGGACAACACACAGTTCTCAAGTACCAGCCTTTCTCAAACTTCGCATAGTTCATGTATCTCCCACTGTCCCATTCATCCATCCCCAAAAACCGAAACTAGAGGCACTTGATCGCTTTACTGAAAGAGTCAGGCTCCGTCATATTTCCCCTACATGCATATACTCTGGAAAAGGCAGCTCTGTGGATTCTCTATTCACCTCCTTCTGTCTTTAGAGACGTCTCCGCCTGCAAGGAATGATGACTGAGACATACTCCCCCGAAGAAGCGTTTGGCCCTGGGACAAAGTAGCCCGGTTTTGTTTCATTTGTATTTGCAGGCATGTGGGACATCTCTTTGGCTCCTCCCTGTTCCTGTGATGGTGAAACAGGAACAGGTTAAAGGTGGAATGGGGAAGGGGATCCACAGGAAGGAGAAGAACCAGCGATACCACGCTCCTTACGGGGTCCTTGCTGCAGGATCACATTCATCCAGTGCTGTACCAACTGCACTGGCTCCCGGTGGAGTACAGGGTCAGGTTTAAGGTGCTGGTTTTGACCTTTAAAGCCCTTTGTGGCCTAGGACTCTCGTACCTATGGGACAGCCTCTCCTGATATGCCCCGCGGAGGACCTTAAGCTCCACAAATGACAACACTTCGGAGGTCCCAAGCTGCAAAGTGGTTAGATTGGTCCAGGGCCTTTTCAGTACTGGCCCCGACTTGGTGGAACACTCTGTCACAAGAGACTAGGGCCCTGCGGGACTTGACATCTTTCTGCAGGGCCTGCAAGACAGAGCTGTTCCACCTGGCCTTTGGTTTGGACTCAGTCTGACCCTAATGTTTCCCTCACCTTATGGTTTTGATCTATGGGCTACTTTTTAAACGAGGCTGCATTTTAAATTGCATTTTAACCTGTATTTTAAATTGGTCCCCCCCCATTATGTTTTTATTGTAATTTTACTGGTGTTAGCTGCCCTGAGCCTGGCTCTGGCCGGGTTATAAATAAATTTATTATGATTATTACCTGAGCACACAGCTCTCACAGATGTAGTTGTCGGAGAAGCCATCAGGGACAGGGCTCATGAGTGGGGTCAGGTGAAAGGGGACAATGTCCTCCCCATCCTGGACGCACACAGAACCTCCACGGAGCAACAGGGGAGCCCAGCTGGACACAGGGTGGTAGAGCACCATGCCGTGAACCACGCACCAACCATGGATAACATCTAAAAAAAAGGAAAAGTAGGGCCGGCTTAACCTTGCCCATCTCGGCAGGCCTGCCTTCCCTGATATTCTTCAAACCCCGTTCTGCACAGCCTCAGAGTCCTCCCACCAGTCTGCTTTTATTACGTAGAGCCCCTTCCTTAAAAAACAACAACTAGTCACCTGCTTTCTCTGCAGAGGGCTCAGTTTTTACAGCCTTGGTCAGGTCCAGAGGAGGGACTGTCAGAGGGGTCTGGAAGGGGGTGTGTGTGTTAAGAGTTAGTGACAGTTCAGCTTCACCCCTTCACTCCCAACTTTATGCTTTCCCTTATCCCCTACAACCATTCACCCCATTGCTCCCCCATGACTAAAGTAGGAAATTCCCCCTTTTTCATTGTGCTATTTTGGACACTTTATCATATGGTTACCAGATATTTTTTCAATGAATCCGGGGACACTTTTTTTTTTTGAAGCTGAGTAGCAACAGGGAGTCAGTAGTGGGCATGGTGAGGCAAAAGATCCTGGGCCCAAGCATACATGCATATTGTATAAAGGTGCAAAGCCCTTCTTTTGCACCCTGTGAAACATATATGCACAGAGTTTTTAAAATACTGGGCAATGGCCACCCACCTGCAACTCCTGAGTCTACCCCGATCAGTCAAAACAAAGGGGGCAGGAGATCTGTACTGCTGGATGTCCCCGGTTCCCCTTCAGCAGTGGCAGCAGCGGCGGCAGTCAGCAGCCTGGAGCCAGCCTGGTAGCACAGTTGGCTCTGGCTGGCGTCAGGAACTGCTTGCTGCCGTGGCGCCCGCCAGTCTGCCTCTGGGAAGTCTCCATATCTTGTGCGCAACACATCATATGGGGACTTCTGGCGAGGAAAAATGGCGGGCGCCATGGCAGCAAGCAGCAAGCAGCTCTTGAAGCCAGCCAGAGCCAACTGTGCTACTAGGCTGGCTCCGGGCTGCTGAGGCTGCCGCTGCCACGTTTCTTGGGGACAGATTTGCAAATCTGGGGACATTCTGGGGATGGAATTTGTCCAGGAACAGATTTGCAAATCCGGGGACTGTCCCCGGAACCAGGGATGTCTGGTAACCCTACTTTTATCAGTCCCTTTCTACTCCCTTCAGCTTTGTTCCACCTCAGAGGTAGGGAACCTTTGGCCTACGGGCCAATCCTGGCCCGCCAGGGGTTCAGTTTAGCTTGCAAGGCCATTTCCCCCGAGCCACACCCATCTGTCAACCAGCTGATGTACGGCAGTTGATGGGCAAGTTCAATTCTGCACATGCGGCCAAAACTTTGCTGGCCTTTGGCTTGCCAAGCCGAGGCCTGCAATGGCACTTGTTCCGAGGTTAACTCCGCAGATGAGACTATGGTTCCTTACAATGCACCTTGGAAACCCCACAGAAGGCATTTTGACGAGCAGGATAACCCACCTGTCAATCATGTAACCCTTCTCTGCATTGCTCCTAAAGGTTTAGGTTGCTGCACACTGCCTTGACCTGATGTTTTGCAAGGGGGTGGTTTATAAATACTTTTCCAGATAAAATAAACAAAGTCACAATGATGTCAGGTGCTTGACTGGTGGGATGTCTCAGCCACCAGTCAAATTTGGCCTGTAGGGAGGAATCAGATAAAGATCTCGCCCTAAGAGCCAAGAATGTTCCTCACCCCATGTTCTACCTTCACTGTTAGAGGCAGTTTGCCTCTGGACACCAGTTGCTTGGAACTGCAGCTTGGGAGAGTGCTGTTGGACTCAGATCTTGCTTTTGAGCTTCCCATTGACATCTGGGTTGGCCAACAGAGTGCTGGACAAAATGGGCCTTTAGCTTGACCCAGCAGGGTTCTTCTTATGTTCCATACCCCTAATTTTCTTATCCCACCCAGAAATCAGGATCTTATTTCTAACATAGACTTGCATTTCCCCACTCCATCCGTGGCTGATCTATGCAGCATATGGATATCTGAGGCCCCACCATCTTTGACCTGGAGCTACTTACCTCAGGATCGTGGAGAGTCACGTCAGTCTTACTTGTTTCTTCTGCTCTCGGCTCAGGGTCTCTGTGAAAGGCTTTCAGCCTTTCCACAAGTTCTGCATTCTGGGCAGCGGGGTGGGGTCGGGGATGGGTGGAGAGAGGGAAATAAGTATGTATTTAACCCTAGATCTGGGCCAGTTCCAGGTATGAGACATTCCTGGGCACAGTGGAAGGCTTGCCTGGCAAGAGAGGCTTAGTAGCACTGGGAGCTGTCAGCTCCCACAATGCCACAAATTGGAGGGCATTGTAGAAAATAAATATGTCAGCTAGTTCCACCTACTGAGGAGGGAAAAGAGCATACTGTATGTCAGTGTTGGGCTGTGACAGGGCATTCGGCTCCCAACCCCTGTTCAATAATGCCAGGTAAATGATGCCAGTCTATTTATCAGGGATCTTTGGGTTAAGGACTATTTTTAAATATATTATTAACAGCTGCAAAGCACAGGTGATTTTCTAAGTTCTGCACATAAGCTGAAATATAAGACAGACCCTGACCACAGGTTAATAATTTAACAGACAGAATACCAAAGGAAATAAGGAATAGGTAAGTGGAAAGCAACCTTTGGAGTAGCTGCTCACTGTTATTATTAATTTACTACTCATCTTCCTCACACACATCTGAAGGTGTTGTACAAGACACAATAAAAACAACTAAGAGGCAGCAGAAATATTTAAGAAAATAATGTCATGGAAATATATGGCCAAAACCCATTCATCCAGCTGGAAAAGCATGTCGGAACACAAAATGTCTTTACTTATTAGCAGCTAGATATCACCACGAAAGGTATTCTGCTTTAGGCTGAGAGAATGGCTGCTGCTGCTTGTGAATAGACAGGGCTTCCTGGACTGAGAAAAGAAGATTTCCTTCATCACTGTTCACAATGAGGATATAACCAAACAGAAATTTGGAAATGTGCAGTCTCTTTTCCCACTTAACTTCCAATAGTGGGATGAGGACAGGGCAGGAAGTTCGGTATGAACTGTGGCGGCATCCCCTCACCTTCCCTGTAGCACGAAGCCCAAACTTCTTACACCACTGTTGCAATTCCGTCCTTTTCAAGGTGTTGTAATCCAAGGAAGGAGAACCACACGAAGAGTCCCCCTTGATCCTCATTTCTGGAGGAGTCTTGGATGCCAATTTGACAACTCTGCGGCTCTTTCGAGACATCCTAAGCCAAGAGAAAGAGAGAGAAATAGAGGGAAATAGCATTGCGAGCCTCCATCTCTCATCCAAGGTGGTCAGCATAAGGCAGCCTTTCTCAAGCTCAGGTCCTCAGATGTTGTTGGACTACCCAACATCCCTAGTTGCAGAACCAGCGGTCAGGGGCATAGCCAAGATTTTGCTTGGGGGGGAGGGTAGAGCCGAGCTATCTGCAATGTGACTGGTCAGTTAGTTAAATATTTTTATTTATTTACTGGATCTGTCCCCCCTTCCCCTCTTGCTAGGCCTGTGGTTCCCAACATTGGGCACATGCCCCACAGGGGGGGCAATTTGATTTGGGGGGGGCAATTTGAGAATGAGTTATTAACAGTGAATGGCCTTTTAGGCTTCCTCCACGTGAACAGGAATTCACTTTTTGAATAATAAGAATTATATGTCACAAGGGAGGGGGTATTAGGATTTTAGAGATGCTTAGGTGGGACATAGCCAAAAAATATATATGTTGGGAACCACCCATGCTAGCAGTCGGGGATGATGGGAACTGTAGTCTAACGGTGCGGGTGGCGCTGTGGGTTAAAACACAGAGCCTAGGACTTGCCGATCAGAAGGTCGGCGGTTCAAATCCCCACGACGGGGTGAGCTCCCGTTGCTCGGTCCCTGCTCCTGCCAACCTAGCAGTTCGAAAGCACCTCAAAGTGCAAGTAGATAAATAGGTACCGCTCCGGCGGGAAGGTAAACGGCGTTTCCGTGCGCTGCTCTGGTTCACCAGAAGCGGCTTAGTCATGCTGGCCACATGACCCGGAAGCTGTACGCTGGCTCCCTCGGCCAATAAAGCGAGATGAGCGCCGCAACCCCAGAGTCGGCCACGACTGGACCTGATGGTCAGGGGTCCCTTTACCTTTACATTATACATATATATATATATATATATATATATATAGAACATACAGTATCTGCTGCATCTGGACCTAATGGTCAGGGGTCCCTTTACCTTTACGGGGGACATGGCCAAAAAATATATGTTGGGAACCACCCATGCTAGCAGTCGGGGATGATGGGAATTGTAGTCTAACAACATCTGGGGACCCAAACTTGAGAAAAGCTGGTACCATGAGCACAACCAGGATTTTGTTGTGCGGGGGGGGGGGGGCAGAATCTTATATTTGTATTGATTTGTATTGATTGGAAGAGAGGGCAGCTGCCCCCTGGCTGGTATGAGGCGCCGCCGAACTACAATTCTCACTATCTCTGATCAGGGGAAATGCGAGCCTCACAACACACCAAGGAGGAACAGCATGTACGCTTCCGCCCGACCCGCCGACTCACCTGGCGCCCGGCGCCGCGTCTCCCTCCAAAACGCTCCGCAGCTGCCGGAACCTCCTTTTTCAAGCAGCGCGCGCTGCCCCGCCCCGCCCGTCAGCTGGCTCCCTCTGGAGCCCGCCCCCTCGCCGCCGAATTGCCCGCGCGCCTGCGCACTCGCGAGGGGGCGGAGGGCCAAAGATGGCGGCGCCCAGCCGGTCCGAGGCGTGAGGGAGACACACACGCGAGCCGCACCTTGCCTGGAACTCGGGCCCCGAGCCTTCTTGTCTCTTTTCTCCTGGGTAAACAAGCACCGGAGGTCGGGGGAGGGGAGTTGTTTCACGAGCACTTCTCTAGGCGGCTTGCAATAGACACCACCAAGGAATTTATTCTTATTTTTATATTCTTATTTTGGGGCGCTTTTAAAGTTGCAGTAATTCCCCCCCCCCCCACCTTCGTCTGAAATTGGGCTGCGGTGAGGAGGGGAAGGGAAGCGGGGTGTGACAGGATCGTGTGCCCGGTTGTGGTACTGGAAACAAAATTCCTTCGCTGGGGTCTGCGCTCAAGAGGGACCCTTTTTTCTTTAGATATGTTGATTCCCGCCCCCACTTGCTAAGCTGCTATTTGGAGCTTGAGGGAGGGTCGGGGGTGTTTATAACAAAAGGAAGCAGATTCCTCAAAGATAGAAACCTGCTGTGCATGGGATCCTTTTCTCTTTTAAAAATTTGATTTTTATTAATTTTTCATTAATAACACTCCAATATGGGCCACATTATTACAATATCAAATCATAATACAATTTATAAAGCCAGTTATACATTCCAAATTAAGCAAATTGACTTCCTGTATTCTGGTCCTCCGGAGATAATCATTCTTAAGTCCTGCACGTAATTTCATATATGATCCAAATATAGCAATTCTGATCTTAATCCTTTCTTCTCAGCCACTGGTGTTGAAGGGGCCTAAAAAGGCTACAGTGTATCGGGATCCTTTGCTCTTCACATCTGGGGCAGATCCTCTGCAATATAATAATTTATTATTTATACCCCGCCCACCTGGCTGGGTTTCCCCAGTCACTCTGGGCAGCTTCCAGCACATATAAAAATGCAAGAAAACGTCAAACGTTAAAAACTTGCCTAAACAGGGCTGCCTTCAGGTGTCTTCTAAAAGTTGAGTACAGTGGTACCTCAGGTTAAGTACTTAATCCGTTCCGGAGGTCCGTACTTAACCTGAAACTGTTCTTAACCTGAAGCACCACTTTAGCTAATGGGGCCTCCTGCTGCTGCCGCGCCGCCAGAGCACGATTTCTGTTCTCATCCTGAAGCAAAGTTCTTAACCTGAAGCACTATTTCTGGTTTAGTGGAGTCTTTAACCTGAAGCGTATGTAACCTGAAGCGTATGTAACCTGAGGTACCACTGTAATTGTTTATCTGTTTGACATCTGATGGGAGGGCATTTCACAAGGTGGGTGCCACCACCGAGAAGGCCCTCTGCCTGGTTCCCTGTAGCTTCACTTCTTGTAGTGAGGGAGCCACCAGAAGACCCTCGGAGCTGGACCTCAGTGTCCATACTGTATAATGGGGGTGGAGATGCTCCTTCAGGTATACTGGGCCGAGGCCGTTTAGGGCTTGAAAGGTCAGCACCAACACTTTGAATTATGCTTGGAAACGTACTGAGAGCCAATGTAGGTCTTTCAGGACTGGTGTTATATGGTCCCGGCAGCCGCTTCCAATCACCAGTCTAGCTGCCGCATTCTGGAGTAATAATGACTTTAATTCAAGAGAGTCCAGTAGCACAGTGAAGATAACGACACACAGTGGTGCATCTTTGGTTTTCATGGGCTTCACTACATAGCTAAATTGTAACCCAAAGTTGGTTGCTAGAAATACACATAGGCAGAGAGGGAGAAATCATAAACAGGCCAAAAGGCATTTAAATCCCAGAATCATAGAATTGGAAGGGATCCCAGGGGTTATCTAGTCCAATCCCCTGCAGTTCAGGAATCTCAACTACTTCATTTTGCTTTTAAATTGTATGCTGCCTTTCTATACTACTATACGCAAGGTGGTTTACAGCAACAAAATAAACAACAAAGAACACACTCATTATTATAATAATCTGATCCAGTACAGAAAGTCATAATAAAACATAAGTTTAAAATGGAACATGTAAAATAAACATTCAATCACCTATTAGAAAATAATACTACACAATAAAATTCTCAAAACATCAGCAAATAATGAAACAGAAATTCACTCTTAACAATTACAGCAAATAATTACTAAACAATAACTGCAATTCACAATGCGTAAAATACCACAATACATACAAAACCATGTAAAAGGATAAAATTGAGAAACAAAGACACACAATTTATAAAATTATTTTTTTTTAATCCCTGAACTCCTCCCTTCCCTGCTGCTTCTGCTGTCCTTAAAAGTCATGGCCTGAGAGAGGCTGATGGCTCAGCTGGACTTGATTGAGGGTTGGGGTGGCAAGGCTCGCTCTTTGCACTTCCTCGCTGAGGAAGCTGACTTCTGCTGAGTTATTTTAGAGTATTTCTGTAGGTTTTCTTTTGCTGGGACTTTTCCAAACAGCTTCCAGCCAGGAGCACTGTGGACAGCAAGTTTGAGTTCAATGACTGATGGCCAGCCAACCTCTGCTTAAAAACCTCTAAGGAAGGAGAGCTCACAACCTACCGAGAGAGTCTGTTCCATTGTCAAACAACTCTTTGCTGTTCGAAAGTCCTTCCTGATGTTTAGTCAGAATCTCCTTTCTTGTAACTTGAATCCATTGGTTGGGGTCCTACCCTCTGGAGCAGGAGGAAACAAGCTTGCTCCATCTTCCATGTGACATTCCTTTAGATATTTGAAGATGGCTATCAGATCTCCTCTTAGTCTCCTGTTATGCAGGCTCCTCTTATCCAGGCTTTCACCTGTATTGCTTTATTTTAAAGAATAAAGACACATCAGTTTTCTTTTCAGAGAGGTTTCCCATAATAAAATAGAAATAACACTGACTACATGATGTCATACAGCAGCAAACAATATCACGGTTCCGAACAATAAGACTCAAAATTCATTTTCTTGCCTCTGCAATCTTAGAGAAGTTTTCATGTGCCTCTTAAAAGCACAGAGGAATGCAGCCTCATCAGTCTATTGAGCCTATTGTTGCCGTTAAATGTGATTGTTTTCACTGTTTTGTTAAAATAGAGAACAAGGCTGCTGGTTATCACAATTAAGTTAGGATCATTCCTTTTTCTTTTTTTTACAGGGCTTTCAACATAAGCTGCAAAATGTGGTTCATTTACCATAGATGTCTCATGTGCCCCAAACACTGGAGAAGACAATTACATGGATCATTCAGCCCAGTTAAGTGGGAGAAAAGGCTAATTCCAAGATTCATTCGGTCCATATTCAGCGAAACCGGGAAGTGGGAAACAAGCTATAAAGTGGAGACTAGGAAGGAAGTTGAAAACTGGTGGCATTCCAGAATAAAGGAACAGTTCGACCAAACTTCAGAAATAGATGTAAGGATTATGGCAAAATTGAACATGCGCTCTTGAATTCCTTTTGTCCCTCTGTATTAGGTGCATTAGGAAAGTTAATGGCCGTATACTGCAGCACAGCTAAATGGACTTAGGATTTCGCCCATTGCATTAAATATAATAGCATATTACCTGCTTCTCAATGGAGGTGTCTTTTTAGAATATTGAATTAAATTATGAGAACTTGTAATATAATAAACAAAGATTACTGCTCACAAGAAAGGTGACATCCTTTTTGTTGCTATTTTCTGATTTGCTGGTCAAAGTGCAGTCCTGTTTTTAAGATTTCTTTAAAAATTGGGGGTTAAAGACAAAAGCGTGATTTGTAAAAAAAATTAAATGTGGTTTAAAATTGAACGTTTTCCCCCCAAGTTCTATCTTGCAGACTTTGTTTTTGCTTATCATTTTGTCTAGAAATCAAGGCCAAAGTTTTATGTCCTGTCAATGTTTCCATATCCTTCTGGGAAGCTGCATATGGGCCATGTTCGAGTCTACACCATAAGCGACACGATAGCACGGTTTCAGAAAATGAGAGGATTTCAGGTATCTGTTAACTATTGACATTTGTTTGGATAATATTTCAGGTGCTTGGAAATGAGTGGTCTGTTGCTTTTGAGGACAGTCAAAACACACTTAGGAACAGGCCAAGCCTCAAACCTTTATTTAATGACAGATAATCACAAAGCACAAATTGGGAGGACCTTAACCAGATTATAACGGAATTAGGGGCTGTGTTATAAGTAATTATTCAGCATATTCCTCGCTTCAGATTGCTTGTGGTGTTCTCTGCCTCTCTACTCCACTCCGGCCCTTTCTGCTAAAAGTGGCATACTTATCCTAATATACATCAACCTGGGCATATAACAAATACTTCTTCCACTTAGGTAACGCCTATGCCTGATTAAAAACCTGTACAATTTGCAAACTTGCCGTATTTTACAACTAACTGGCACAAGAGGGAGAGCAGACAAACCAGGAGAGGGTGGCTTTGCACCATCCCGGTCCCTGTGTGGTCTGCTCTCCCAGCCGGCAAGAGCGTTTGTTTGCGCTGCAATAGTTGCTTGACCTGTGCATCATCTGGCTGCAGGTAACAGTGTTGTTGTCATTTGTAGTGGGGGGGTTAGTGTGTAATTACTAGCCGAGTGAATGCAGCTGGGGTTGGGGTGTGGTCCAGGGCCTGCCTTACTATAAGGTGCTTCGTGCTGTCAGTCAGGCTATAGAACTGTAGGCTAGGTGCTGCGTGAGACAATCCTGTGACTCTCAACCAGGGTGAGAGCCTGGCTGAGGGAAAACTTGGTTTGCTGGAATTCCCCCTGAGAGTGAGAGGTAGGGGGAAGAAATCTTGACTTCTTTGGGAGCATCAAACTGGAACCTGACGTTTGGACTATTGCTTCTTGCAAAGAGAGGAGCTAAGCCAGGAGCAAAGGAGCTGGGTGCAGTAACACACAGGACATTGTAGTTTCTGCAAGACAGGAGCCATAGCTTAGCACAGGGGTCAGCAAACTTTTTCAGCAGGGGGCCAGTCCACTGTCCCTCAGACCTTGTGGGGGGCCAGACTATATTTTTTTTGGGGGGGGATGGACAAATGAATTCCTATGCCCCATAAATAACCCAGAGATGCATTTTAAATAAAAGCACACATTCTACTCATGTAAAAACACCAGGCACAAATAACCCAGAGATGCATTTTAAATAAAAGCACACATTCTACTCCTGTAAAAACACTAGGCAGGCCCCACAAATAACCCAGAGATGCATTTTAAATAAAGGGACACATTCTACTCATGTGAAAACACGCTGATTCCCGGACCGTCCGCGGGCCGGGTTTAGAAGGTGATTGGGCCAGATCCGGCCCCTGGGCCTTAGTTTGCCTACCCATGGCTTAGCATGTGCAAATGTGCCCTTTGTCTACAACAGGAATAGCCCACGTGGGTCCCTCTGGATATGGCTCCACCATCTCTGACCATTGACCATGCTGCCTAGGGCTGATATGAGTTTGAATCCAGCAATATCTGGGGATCGCCACTTTGGTTATCCCTGATTCACGCTGGCATTAATTTAGCCGATCAGCTAAAGGTTGTAGCCCTAATACAAATTCAGTAGAATGTCTTACTTGCAGATCTATGTTACTGGATGGCGATGCCAGTTCAAGTA